GTGGGAAAAGAAAAGAAGAGAAAGACACCGAGGGGGTCTGGCGAGCTATCGCCGGCTCTCCGGGCACACGGGAAGCACGCGGGAAGCACACGAGAAGCCCGAGCCTCAGCAGCACATGCGCCCCTGCGCCATGGAGGCCGGCTCAAGAGTCCCCGGGAAGGGGGGGGGCGGCGGAGAAGAACCAGTCCCCCAGGCCAGATCGCGGCAGGGGCGGGGGTGAAGGGCCTGCGATCCGGTGGCATCTGGTCCGAAACCGTCATGTGGCAGTGGCGCCCCGTACGGGACACAGAACATGTGATCCTCAGGGCGATTTATTCTAGATCGATCCTTGGGACGGTCTTTTCGCGCTTGCGCTTTGCCTCCCCCCCCCCCCCCCCATCCGATCTTTTTTAATACACATCACAAAGTTTGCACACCGATGCCCGTTGAATGTAGTGTCTTGCTCCCACTCCCCCCCCCCCCCCCCCCCTCGCTGCGTGCTCCGCATCGGGCTTCGCGCGCTCCTTATGCAGGTCCCGCTCGACTGGCCGTGCTGCTGGTGCCGAGGCTGGCGCCCTCTCGATGGATCTTCCTGGCGCCTCTCTCGGGGCCTCCATTGGCGCCTCGCTCGGGGGCCCGTCCCGTCCGGCCCCGTGCCCCCTCCAAAAGTTTGACTCACCTGCCGCCAGCACCGGCAGCTCGACCGACTCCCTGGCGCAGCGCAGCCGTCAGCTTCTCCAGAAGTACGATGCATGCCGCGCATGAGCCTTTTTGCTCCGCAGGCCCCTGCCTCCTTTTCACGGATCTAACGTGTTCCCGCCTGTCCGACCCCCCCCCCCGCCCTCCCCTTTCCGGCTCCCCCAGGTATCTTGAGGAGATCGACCAAATGGAGAACTCCTTCTCGTTTGCCCCGCTGAGGTCCGCGCCTCCCGGCTCGACAGGGTCCTTCACCACCTCGAACTATGTTCCATCGGCCGCGGCTGCGGCTCCGCCCGCAGGCGGCCTGCCCCAGCCACATGCCCTTGGCTTTGCGCCGCCGACGCACCTCCCCCCGGCGGCTCCGGTTAGTGCCGCGGCCAAGGGCCCGGCTCTGGCCACTGCCCAGTCGTCGGCCGCGTCCGCCCCACCGGCGGCCCAGCCCACGAGCCAGCCCTCGGCCGCGGCGGCCGCCCCCGTGGCCGATGTCAACTCTCTGGTGGCGCTTTTGAAGGAACCCCCGACGGCTGCCAATCTGGCACCCGGCGCGGCGGCTGTCCCTCCCACCGAGCGGGCACCCTCCCCCCCGCCGCCCTCGTCCGGGCTGGTGTCTCTCTTCGATCCGCCGGCCTCGGCGGCCGGTGGCGATGCCCAGGCCGCCCCGCCCACCGCCACCACTCCCACCGAGCCGACCCCGATGACCGACGAGGAGGTGTGTCCTTGCTCCCTGCCCCGGTCTTCTCCTCCTCCTCCTCCTCCGCCCCCCTCCTTGTTGCCCTCACTACGGATTAACCTCCCATCATGTACCCCCTCCCCGCTTTCTCTCCCTCCCTCTCCCTCCCTCTCCCTCTCCCTCCCTCTCTCTCAGCTCGAGCGCGAGGCCATGGCCACTTTCGGCATGTCGCCAAGCGATCTTTCACGCATGATGAAGGGCTACACCCAGCAGGGGGCGTCCTCCATGTCGGGCAAGGCATCGCGCGGCTCGAGCCGGAGCTCCTCGCGCGAGTCCTCCGCCTCCCTGGCGTCTCCCTTCTCCTCCTTGTTCGAGCCCCCCTCGGAGATCGGGCAGCCGGATTCCCCGCTGGCGGCCAGCTCCAAGATGCCGACCAGCTCGCTGGAGAGCGTCCTCAGCAACCTGTCCAAGGAAATGACTCGGCCCACCGAGATGTCCCGGTCACCGGGGTCCAGCCCACAGTGGCGCCTGCGGTCCACCCTGCGCGGGCACTATGACGGGATTCTCTGCCTGGACTTCGTGCCCTTCCCCCTGGCCACCAAGTACAACCCCACGGTTCCGTCCTTCCTGTCGGGCTCGGAAGACGGCACCATCAAGCTCTGGTCTCGCCCGGGCAAGTCCTCTTCCTCCTCCTCGTCGAAGAGCTCCTCCTCCAGTGACACCCCGGTCGTGTGCTATACCTTCCGCGGGCATAGCCACCCGGTCCTGGCTCTGACCACGGTCCCGGTCGGCGGTGATGTGTTCCTCTTCTCGGCCTGCCTCGGGGGCACGGTCTACCGCTGGCAACTTCCGCCCAGCATCCCGCGCAACATCTACCTGGCCCACGACAAGACCCGGCCCTTCCAGCCGGTTGAGCAGCTGGAAGTGTCGAAGAAGCACCGTGATGCCATTTGGGACATCCGGTCCTGTCCTCGGCGGCGGGTGGTGCTGACCGCCTGCGCCGATGGCACGGTCGGCATCTGGAAGTACACTGACTCCGATCCGAAGCTCATGCTCAAGACCCTGATCAGCAGCCCGACCAAGTCGGTGCCCACCTCGGTGGACTTTGCCCCGAGTGCCCCGGGCAAGGCCTCGGACCCCGACTCCTTCGACATTGTGGTGTCCTATGTGGATGCCAGCGTCCATGTGTTCGGCTGCCAGGGCGGTGCGCCGAGCCTGTCCTTCGAGTCGGTTGGTACCACTGGTGCGTGTCCATGTGTCGTCCTTCCGGCCCGCGTTCTTCCATTTGCGCGCCCTGCTGCTCTTTCTTCGGTCCTCACACGCCGCATTTCCGGGTGCCCTTGTCCCCGGTCCCTCCCCCCCCCCCCCCCCCCGGCAGATGGCACGCCCAACAGCCAGATCAACCGTTTGGCCGCGCACCCCGACTTCCCCCTGGTCTTCACGGCGCATGAGGACCAGCGCATTTGCATTTTCAACTCCCAGACCGGGGCCCTGTTGCACTCGGTGGTTGCCCACCGGGATGCCGTGCGCACGTTGTCCATCCACCCGTCCGGCGTGCGGCTCGTGTCCGGAGGGCATGATGGGTCCATCCGCGGATGGGACATCAATGGCCTGCCGGAGGATGCCTTGCGGGGGGCCGTTTCCAAATTCGGCCCCACTGACTTCGATGCCGTGACCGTCCGCTGCACGCAGGAGTTGACCGCGCATCGGATGAAGTACGAGTCTTCGGTTCTCTGCCTGGCGCACAGTTTGCCCGGGCCGGGCAGCACCGGGCTTGGCGATGATGACATCCTCCTCGTGTCGGGAGGGGCCGACTCCATCGTCAAGGTTTTCCACTGATCCTCGTCCTCGCTCCCCTTTCCAGGCTCTCGCAGAGCGAGGGACAGGGCAGGAGGGAAAGATACAAAGAAAGAGCAAAAGGCCGCGGGGGCAGACAAGGGGCAAGAGCTGTGGCCGCGCCAGGGAGCGTCCAGCCCGGGGGGGGGGGGGGGGGGAGCCCCTCACAGCGCGAGAAAGGACACATGAAGGCGCTGGTGCGCGTGTTCTGGCAACCGCCCCTCCCCGGGCATCTGGGTCACCGCCTCCCCCCTCCCCCCCCCTCGGTGAAATGTCAACATGTGCCTCCTTCCCTCGTGCCCCTCCCCTTCGCCTTCCACCTCGTTTGTCTCTCCCCTCTTCCATATCATATACACCTACAATTTTCTCCACACATGCCTGTTTATCGCGGCCTCCTCTCGCCGTCTCCCTTTTGTCGCGTTCCCTTCTTTTCTCCCGGCGGCACCCAAAACCCTGTGCCTCCCTTGCGCTTTCTCTCTCTCTCTCTCTCTCCCTCTCAGGGTGATGTGTGTGTGTGTGTGTGTGTGTGTGTGTGTGTGCTCCTCGCTATCCCCCCAGGGGTTCCTGGCCCTTTGCCTTTCCCGCCCCCTTCTCACCTTCGGTTTTCGAACGCCGGAGGGGGCGGCCGCACTATGCCG